AAACCCCGTTTGTCCCTCAACTCTGCTTCCCTCCCATATATATATGTACATACATACATATGTACATGTATGCATGTATATATACGCTATCAAATTGATCAATGTTGTTATAAGTTTTCTGAGTTCAAAATCTATTTTAGTTGCTTAACAGAACTGTCACTTAACAAAATCTGCTAAGTCACTTAACCATTTTTGGCCTTAGCTTTCTTCTGTGTAAAATGAGGAGTTTGGCCTAACTGGTTTCCAAGTCTCTCCAAGCCCTTCAAGTCTATCTAGTGTGATTGAAAAGTGCTTCTAATATATCAATCCTTTCCTCAGAATGTAAGGTTATTTAAAATTATATGGTGCTTACGTGATTCAAAGGAAGTAATGCACTTCTAAAGGTATTTAATTATTCCCAATGATAAATTCACACAGGAGAATTTAAATAGCTGTGTCACTGTTTGAATATAGTACGACCTAAGATGCAATGTAACTTAGATGTTTGCACATAAGAGCCATGATTTATGGAGACTGTGGAAGGGGCAAGACCAGGTGATCTTGGCTTGTCGTCGTCTTTTGTAGCTCATTGGACCAGGAATGGGAACACCTGATCCTAGGGTGGCCCATTCATTGGGTGGCCCACATCTGCTTCAAAATGATGAGCTGGGCCATCAGAGGATCTTGGCATTCTGAACTCAGAAATACTAAGAGAGAGAGTTAGCAGCAGGTACAGAACCTGCAAGAATGTACCAAGAGATACCATGAAGGAAGAGTCCAGGCTGTAGTCATGAGGGGGCAGAAGCCACAGAGAGGCAGAGGTGTCACCAGAGGGAGGAAAGAGGCTGGAATGGCCTATGAATTACAAGGAGTGGCCGTAGGTCTGGAGAGCTCTCTGGGTCCAAAACCTAAGTTGTAGAAATCTTCATGATAAATCTCCTTTTACTTGAGCAAGCTTGAGTCAGTCTCTGATCCTTACTATTAAAACTGCTACACTAGGGGCCAGCCTGGTGGTGTAGCAGTTAAGTTTGCGCACTCCACTTCAGCGGCCCAGGGTTCGCAGGTTTGGACCTCGAGCGCAGACCGATGCACCACTTGTCAAGCCATGCTGTGGCAGTGTGCCATATAAAGTAGAGGAAGATGGGCACAGATGTTATCCCAGGGCCAATCTTTCTCAGCAAAAAGAAGGGGATTCGCAGATGTTAGCTCAGGGCTGATCTTCCTCACACAAAAAAAAAATAAACAAACCTGCTACACTAAATTGATTAGTGACAAAAGTCCCACGAAGGATCACTAGAGGGGCCACATCGAAGTTACTCACCACCCTGTCCCCAGTACCAGAGTGACAAGCATAGACTAGATTAGTAACTATTTGTTGAGTTAATAAATGTACTCTCTGATCAATCAGTTAACAATTATCAAGTCATTTTTACATTTTAGTTCTATCTTTTACTTTTTGTGTAAATATATCTAAAGCCACATTGTATGTGACTATAAGAAGACTCTATTCTTAAAGATGACAAAAAAATTTGCAATCAATAATGATAAAATTAACTGTTTTCTTAGACTGGCTTTTAACTTTAAACGATTGCTTATCTAGCTGAAAAGTTTATCAAAATAAGGCTTTAATGAAGTAAAGTATGGATTTTCTAAAAATAGGCACCATTCTTAGAATCAATTTGTAGATTGAAGGAATCTGCTTTTTTCTAGTTATATTATATATATATATTATATGGAAGGTGGCCAGATCCTGACCCTTGTGTGTACAGATGGCAGTGTTGGTTCCTCCGTCTGTTTCTCAGTTATTCGAGTGATGGGTTTGTGCTGACCATCCACTGTCTTTCTTTCCTTGTCTCTTATGTGACCGGGAGTAATATTTCTGAAAGAGAAGTAAGTAGGGTTAGGACATGCTGTCTGTGGCTCAGGAAACAAGCAAAGCAAAGCTAATCCTTCAAATTGGAATATTATTCCACAGCCGTAGGCAATGGAATTGATCCTAGAGAATCAAGCTCATGACCATGTGGATCTGGTCCTATCATAGGTGGTTCATTTGACCTGGAATACCTATGGTTTACAAGGAAGGCCTTAAAACATCAAGGATAACTTTGTCCCCAACTTCCTTTATGGAAAATGATTGATATAGTATTTGAGATGATCTAAGAAGATCTATAGAAGATAGATAAAGTTGGTAACATGCATGCCTAATATGCAAACAAAAATATAGTTGAAACAACTATATTCTCAAACGTATTTATAATATCATTTAAGATTTTCCTGTCATTATACAGGAGAAAGATTTAAAATCAAATGGATGTGAACAAGATAGAGACAAAGAGTGCAAAGATGATCATAAGTGAAGGTAGCTTGAGTTCTAAGGGTTCTTGAACTCCATACTCTTAGTTTTAGGTCGTAAGCAAGTATTTTCAGTTCGAACATATAATAATATCTGTAATTATTGTGTATCTGTTGTGGACCAGCTGTCTTCCATATTGCTACTCCTTGAATAAACCTGGGACTTATTCTGCATAACGTCTAGTGTTATTTTCCCCATTTGGAGTTGAGTAACTTACCCATGGGTACACAGCTAACAAAGACCAGTTACAGTTAGAATTTAGATATTGACTCTCATTATTGTATTCTTCTCACTCAGTTACACTGTCTTTCATAAGAGTTGAGGCAAAGAAGATGTAAAGGTAATTGATTGTGAGTTCTTTTTTCAAAACTCTTGTAAAAACTAAATATGATCTAGAGGAAAAAAAGAAATTTCAGGATTAATAACTGAATATGTTTTAAGTAAAAAGCAAAATGTTAATCTTAAATTGCATCATACTTGCCTACAAAGAAGACTGATTGTTTTAATAGGAGATTCTAAAGTAGAAGGAGTGTACAAGTCCTCTATGCTCAAATCTGTGGTTTCCATCGGTGATTCCAACTTAGAATCATCCTTTGTGGAAATTCAAGAAATTAAATCCATTGGGAACACCAATAAATATGAATTAGCACTAATGACAGCCTTAAAGAGCTACCATTTGACCAAGGCCTATAAAATTCCTGCTTACAAGTTGACATCTTAGATTGAAAGGATCATCAATTGAATCAGTCTTCTAAATGCACAAAATATAAAAATGGCAAATCCAAACCTGAGTGGAAAAATAGCTATCACTCTTTTGTTCGGAAGGAAGAGAAAAACATATACAAAGAATGAGTAAAAAATGGGCGAAGGAACTGGGTGGGCATGATCTGCCTGTAAGAGATCAGGCTTCGGTTACAGATGAAAGACAGGAATGGCGTGGCACTGGTGTCAAATATATGAAAAGGGCTTGCATTTATTCCATGGAACTCGAGAAGTGGGAACTGGAGCCAGTGGGTAGAATCTACCAGGAGGCCGGCTTGTGGTGCAAATGGAATGGGCTGCTTTGGGAGATAATCAGAGTCTCAATACATTTGAGGCACCCACACAGATGCTAAGTAACGACCATTCAGAATGTTCTGGGAAGGGACACAGGCGCACAGGTGGCAGACAGCACCGGACTCCTCAGATCTCTCAGCTACAACATTCATTGTTACTTCCTGGTGCTCACAGGTCTTTAAATCCTTTACTATTCTTGCTATGTTTTGAATCTGAACAATTAGTCTGATTTATATGATCCTTCCTCCTCCCCCTGAATTATTTTCTTCTGTGCTGTCTTGGAATATACAAAGGTGATGCTTTGTTACTAGGCTGCCTTTAGATAGCACGTGCTTCATTCAGTTCTGTGAATTTGGTTGTTGTCAGTTCAGATTCTTGTTGTTGTATCATTCTTTGGAAATACTCTTTTAAAAAATTTAGTAGTGAGAAAGTGAAGATTCTGTTTTGTGGTTTTATATTTTGGATTGCAAAAATTAAACTTTTTGATTCATAGCAGTATAAATTCTTAGACAAATATTTTTAGCGTTAGACCCACTGTCCTATGTAAATGTTCACCTAACGATAGGCTAAGAAAATAACTATTTGGAAATGCAAACGGAAATGTAAGCTACTTGTGTTCCTCTTGGTTTGCAAATGCTTGCGGGTTTTGCTTTAAGGCGTACGCTATCAAGTCAGCAATTGCTGTCTCCGTGCCACGAGTTCAACATCTCTGGACCCCAGAGTAGGTAGTAGTAGTTAATACAAAACTCAAGCAGTATTTTTTTCAGACCGAGTCATCGTGCTGTACTCTGTAATTTTATTCTTGGAAGCATAAAGCGTGTTTACAATATGGTGTCTTTCTAGGATCAGAATAGTGGGAAAAAAAAATGGAAAAATGTCCAAACATCTTTGCATGGCAATGATGGCATTACTGGTGTGTTTAATAAAACCTTTATTGGTACATTTTCCGGTGTGGTGGCATTGGCAGAAACGGTCCCCCTTTGGATTTGGAACTCAGCAGCTGATGAAATACAGTAAACATTAATTTGGAATGGGCTGCCAGTTTTGGAAAGCCAGGTGACATTTTATTATATTTGTACCGAGCAGGGGCTATGTCCCATACTGCTGTAGCTTCCGCTGTCAGAGGCTTAGCTGGCATTATGGAAAAAAAAATGGCAGGCCTGAGAATCTTATCCCCTGAAATGAAAGTCGAATGCCAAATTGAAATTCCTGTAGGATTTCCGATAGCAATGGGGGAATTGAGAAGCCCACAATTAAGCATATGGGCATTAAGATAATTGTCAGATCTGTTGGCGGACATGATAGAAGACAGATGGGTAGGAATCAGTGCGCTCCACTGCAGCACCCTGGGAGACAATTTGACGTTTTACCTGCCTGAGCTACTCTGCCATATTTGTCACTGAATGTACAGCACGGCATCTTACTGAGTGTTAAGTGTCTTTGCAGGGTACTATAGGTGCATGTGCGGTCCTTCAGCGCCCTCTAGTGAAATGCGTTTGGGAGTATTGTTTTTCAAAGGCCAGTCTTCCTTCATCAGGTCCTCGCTGCCCCTGGAAATAGCTGTCGCACCTCTGGTTCCCTCTAAACTCCGTGGTTCCTCTCACCCTTTCAGGTCGGGGCCCATCGTGAAGACGGCGTGGCCCTGAGAGGCAGCCATTCTCTTGTGCCAAACCAGGTTCCGGTTCCACAGCTTCCTGTCCAGTCTGCAACTTCCCCTGATTTGAACCCACCCCAGGACCCTTACAGAGGTAGGTCCGCCTCAGAAAGGCACTTCTGACCTCACTTTTAAACAGCAGTAGATCTGGTGTTGATCCCATGCTTACTTGGCGTTCATCCCTCAGGAAGCACTGGCAGAAAACCAAGAATCAAATTTGGTACAAAAATGATAAGTAAATGGGAAAGTATTTAGAATGTAACCGGCTAATTGTGTTTCTTCAGTAACTGTTTTCCTCAAACATCCTCTGAAATCCTGGTACTGTTTCAGCAGGGAATGAGACAACAGACTGATGAGAGGAAATTTTATTTTAGCTATTTCCACATTGTACTCATTCAGGTTCTCTAATGTGGTTAGTTGTAGCCTGAAAATGATGTTTCCAAATGAATAGGAAGGAAGGAAATTGTTTTTGTTGTTTAAGATTGAAGGAAATGTAGGTACATTTAAAAAATGGTACTTGTTTGGATGGTTTTTGCTTTTGAGTCATCCAGCCCCGTAATGATTTCCTCATACTGCTGACTCCAATTGGCTTTTCATGACCCCAGGAAGTGGTACGCAGGGGCAAGACCTCGGTCCCGTGCTCCCTGTGTGACTGGCTGACCAGGTGACTAGGAGACACTTAAATGACATCTTCTCCTTCCCGTCATGTTTAGAATGAAAATGATAACACTGCCACAAGAATGTGTATAAGCATTTTTTCAGTTGTTAAACATCGTACAAATCTGAGTGTTAATTATGTGTGTGGGTCTGCCTGCCCATTTTTGTCTGAATAGTAATAATTTGGTGGACCTTTGTTTTAAAGAGCTTTTGGGTTTTCTTTCCATGTCCTAGATCAACACTTCTTAAACTTGAATGTACATAAACAGGACCTGAGAATCTTGTTAAAGTGGAGATTCTGATTCAGTGGGTCTGGCATTCTACGTATCTAATGGGCTCCCAGGTGATAAGGATGCTCCTGGCCCATTGGCCAAATGTTGAGTGACAAGGTTCTAGACTACACAGATTACAAATAGAGGGAAATACTCAGTACACATGCTTCTACCTTAGAAATAAATGATTATATTAGGGTCAAGTTTTCAAATGTTTTATGATCTTGAAAGTTGAGCAATGATAAGGCTAGAAATTTCTTCAGTGAGCAGCTAACTGCTTTCCATATGTACCATTTTTAAATGCTGATTACTTCTTGAGGGTAAGAGAAGCCTAATTTCAGAATATCATTAGGGTGTCTATTGAAGTGTTGACTGCACATATTTAGCGTACTCCCTGGGAATTATATTTTAAGGACATTTTTCTATTAAATCATTGCATATGGAAGAAACTCAATATAATAGCTGATATTTACTTGGGTTCTTAATCAGAACATTGAGGTGTGTGATTTTCATGATTATGATTTTCATTGCAATTAAGTTGATGTTTTGTAGACAGTGAAATTACCATCTACTCCAAGAGATTGCAAAATAGAATTTAACCTCAGAGCCAATGCAGAGAAAACTTGTTTCCGCAGGTGCATTTTTGAAACTTCACCAGATAGCACGAAAAAAGCGACAGAAGGATCACAGTTCAACAATGTGAATTATATAGCTGGCAGCTCTACGATCTGGGGTGCGCGCGTGTGTACGTCGAGTCTTTGGTGGAAGTGTCACCTGGTCTCTTCTCTTCTGTAGGCATGCCACCAGGATTGCAGGGCCAGAGTGTCTCCTCCGGCAGCTCTGAGATCAAATCCGATGACGAGGGCGATGAGAACCTACAAGACACAAAATCTTCTGAGGACAAGAAATTAGATGACGACAAGAAGGATATCAAATCAATTACTAGGTCAAGATCTAGGTAACAGTATATAATACTGTCGCTTCATTTAATTCCTTTATTGGACTTTGATGAAGTGAACAGAACAGGAAGAAACGATTCCGTTTTTTCCTGGCAGGTAAATCTACAGCTGAAAAGAAATTAAAGGCCTACTCTAGAGGTACTCAAGTATCCTTTAAGATACCTGTACTCTAGTGCAGCCTAAAATGTCTTTGCATTTATGAATTTGGACACAATGCCAATTATACACGGTAAAAACAATTTGTAACTGATTCAAATGCAAACAGTCGATTTTTAAAACTATGCCTATTCTACAAATTTGGTCAGAAATGTTCTTTCTAAAATATTTCTAAAAAGAGATCTTAACAGTATTGAAAACTCAATTGAGGTATATACAACCGTAACTTTTTCTTACGTTGAAAGTGAGAAAATACTGATTTCCCAGCTTTATCCTAGACATATTGATATATATAGAAAAGCAATACCTAAATTACTAATTTTTTCTCCTGGATACTCCCTTCTACAGAAAATACAACTGCGGGAAAATAGCTTCTGATTGGTTTTCTTGAATATCCGATATTTTAAAATTAGAAACTATCTCCTTGAACTTTAGCTTTAATCTGATAATCAGATGGTTTTTGAATACTGTGGCACCCAATTCCCTGCAGTTGTTTTTATATGCAAATTAAATAAATTGTACTAAGACTACACCTCCCTTTTAAAGGCTATCATTCTCAGGGTTATATCTAGTGTCCTTTAGGAATTAAGAACATGCTGCCTTTTCATATTGCCTTTATCATTATTGACCTAAATTTTATTACATGTCCTGCCACAAGTTCCAAAAATGCTAGAAACTTCTAGCTTACACCTTTCCACCATCATTGCAGAGTTTCCTCCCTCTTGGCCACATTGGTAAGAAATCCCAAGAAGGGACTTTCACATCCTCACCAGCTTCTCTGTTAGTCCATCAGTTCTTGGTAATTGAACCAGTGGCCATAACTTATGCATATGAATGGATTTTTTGACGTTTCATTACAGCATTTTGCCTTACTCTTTAAGTACCTTTTTATTTTAAAAGGTCACCCTTGTGACATTTACTTGTGCCTCCAAAACTGTGTTGTAAGGCAATGCTTTTCAAATCTAGTAAGTTTTATTTACATAACCAATTTATTTGTAAGTGAATAACCAATTCTAATTAGTTATTAGCCTGAATACCTTTGGAAAACAAGCTCCCACTTTGTGAAAGCTATGGCACATGTTTGATATTTAAAAATATTACCCAAATTTTTAACTTCAGGTTGGGCCCAGCAGAGACTCGACTCTGTTCTCTTTTCACTTATTACATCCTATTTGTATAGTGGAATGTGGACAAGAATTCAGAGTAACCTTGATTCCTTGGCATCAGCAGAGGTCATGGGTGAGGGAGAGTAGGGATCAGCAGAGGAAGTGAAGAGGAGCAAAGAGTGCCTTTTCTGATTGGTTCAGTTCAGTTGTGTGTTCACCAGCAAATATCTACAGCCGACAGTCCCATCTAGAAGGGAGTTTAACCAATGGGGAGATGAGCCAAGTCTTACAGCATCTTTCTTTGGTGCCTTCCTCCTCCGCTCCGTTACAAGCTCTCTTGGCTTACATCTGTCATCTTTATGTGCAACATTTGCTTACAACCCAAGAATACCCCTCCCATTTTTGATTGATTGGGGCTTCACAATCATGTTTTGTCCTTATTGCAATTTGGAAGTTACCCAGAGATTCTCCAAAGTGGAAGATTCGGAGCCATACATTTTAAGCCAACATTCATGTAGTATACATTGAGTTGACTAGATAACGTCTCACATGTCCTTCAGCTCTGAAATGTTGTGATTAACATCTTTCTTCTGTGAACATTTCAGATTCCTGGAATTTTGAAGTAGAGGTTAACCTTCATGGTCCTTTAGATTAATGTTTAAATCTCTGGGTTACCATCCTTACAGGTGGTCACCTCCATGTTGTTTCTTGTAATGGGGAGTCTATTACTATTCAGTGAAGATTACTTCATTTTTGCTATCTCTCATACCCAGAAAGGTTCTTGTTCATATTAATTCAAACAATACCACTCGGGGTTCTTAGTTCTGTTCTGCCTCCCTGAGACAAAACATCTCTCACACCTCTCTTTTTTATGTGGTTTCCCATGAAATATTTGAAGACTTGATGCCATGAAACCTTCCTTATATGATATGATTTCCAGATGGCTCGTCATCTTATTTGCCTTCTATTCAAAAGTTTCTAATTTGTCAGCACGACACCCCGAAACAGAAGGAATCTTGCCTTTCCAGACTGTACTGGGTCCAGCCATGCCTTTGATATGAATCGTATAATATTTCTGTTCTCACAATCAGAGATTAGCTTTTTGGCTTCATGTTTGACCCATAATGGGGTTATGGTCATTTGTAACCAGTAGGTGTTTGGGTTTTGTTTTGTTTTGTATGTTTTGCATAGATCATGTCAACTCAGATGTCCCCAACTTGTTTTTGGCATCATGAACATGCAGAATGTTAAAGGCCAGAGAGATCATGTTTCTCTAACATTTTATTTAATACATGGAGAAAATGAAACTCAGACACATTAAATGGACTGACCATGCCTTCTAAGCTAGTTAATGTTGAAACCTGGACAAAGGCCCCCTGTCTCCACTCCCATTGCTCTGGTGTCTTGAATGTAGGAACTTCTTCTTAATCCTGTCTAGCTGCATTCTGTTAATTTTGATCCATCAAAATCTGTTTCTAATCACTTGTTTTCCTCGGGTTTCAGATGTCACAGTATGAAAGTTTAAAAAAGGCAGCTTCAGGGTCTGGCCCTGTGGCCGAGTGGTTAAAATTCTGTGTGCTCCGCTTCAGCAGCCCAGGTTCATGGGTTTGGATGCTGGGCGTGGACCTACTTTACTTACCAGCCACGCTGTGGCGGTGTCTCACATACCAAAAAATAGAGGAGGATTGGCACAGATGTTAGCTCAGGGCTATTCTTCCTCAAGCAAAAAAAGAGGAGGATTGGCAACGGATGTCAGCTCAGGGCGGATCTTCCTCAGCAAAAAAAAAAAAGGAAAAGAAAGCAGCTTTAGTCTAAAACTCTTTCTGAATTGTGGTCATGCAGTGCAGCTTAAGCCTAAATTGACTGTGGCCTGCTTTGCTGAGTGTAGCTTCGTTGAATAAAGCTTTGTTTCCCTTTTTGCCTCCCTACAATCCATATAGTGCACACTGGGCCCTAACTTTAACCTCTCCTGTTTAAATTGGGTTTAATATCTGGGAGAAACCGAATGTCTTGTGTGTGGATGGTCACAGCTATCTAAAGCCATCCCAAGCTCAAGTGGATGTAAAATCCTGCCAAGGACAACAGCTTGAGATGGAAAAGTTCCCTGAAAACTCTGGAAGAAAACAGAAGTAATTTAGGTACCTTCTTTTTCCCCACACCATTAGAAAATGTCGCATCCCTTTTGTCCCGCAGCAATAATGATGACGAAGACCTGACACCGGAGCAGAAGGCAGAGCGTGAGAAGGAGCGGAGGATGGCCAACAACGCCCGCGAGCGCCTGCGGGTCCGCGACATCAACGAGGCTTTCAAGGAGCTCGGCCGCATGGTGCAGCTCCACCTCAAGAGTGACAAGCCCCAGACCAAGCTTCTGATCCTCCACCAGGCCGTGGCCGTCATCCTCAGCCTGGAGCAGCAAGTCCGAGGTCAGTGCAAGCCGGGTAGCCTCCTTGCAAGGGTCGTGGGTAGCGTGCAGCTGGAGGGAGCCGTGATGGACTTGCCAGCCTTGAGCAGGAGCAGATAGTAGACTCTTAAGCATCATTCAGAACAGTTGTTTCAATTGCAGGTTGTGTCAAAATCTATCAGCAGCTTCCCTTTCTCCTGTAATTAAGTTATAGGACTGTCTCATAACTGAGACCACACTGTGACGTTTCCGTGTGTACTGTCAGTAGTCGGAGCTTAGTATATCTGCTTTACCAACTTTCTTATATACTGTGAAGTGGCAGTGCAGATCACGCAGTTCACCTTTTACTAGTGACTGACCAAATGAATAGCTGTGGTGCACATTTCCTTATATTCTGTGATGTAAAAACCAAGGAAAAGGGTCAACAGACACGCAGAGGCGTCCATTACTGCCCTCTACCAGAAGCCTTGGCGTTCACTAACTGCTCTGTGCTTTAATCTTCCACAGAAAGGAATCTGAATCCGAAAGCCGCGTGTCTGAAAAGAAGGGAGGAAGAAAAGGTGTCTTCGGAACCTCCCCCGCTCTCCTTGGCGGGCCCTCACCCCGGCATGGGAGACGCATCAAATCACATGGGACAGATGTAAAAGGGCAAGTCTGTTTTCAGCCATTTCTGAGATCTTTCTTTTGTGACTCTCACCCAGGCATGAACGTCAGATTTTGTCCAAATTCACAGATAGATTTTTTTTCCCCTTGGAAAAAAGAATTTAACAATAAAACATTTACTTACTTCCTTTGTTATAAATGTATTAATTAATTTTCCTCTCTTTTTCCCTTCTCAGGTCCAAGTTGCCACATTGCTTCATTAATACAAGAGACCACTTCCTTAACAGCTGTATTATCTTAAACCCACATAAACACTTCTCCTTAACCCCTTTTTTTGTAATATAAGACAAGTCTGAGTAGTTATGAATCGCAGACGCAAGAGGTTTCAGCATTCCCAATTATCAAAAAACCGAAAAACAAACAAAAAAAAGAAAGAAAAAGTGCAACTTGAGGGGGAACTCTCTTTAACATATCATTCAGAACGTGCAAAGCGGTATGTGCAGGCTGAGACGCAGCCCAGAGACTGAATGGCAATCTTTCCACACTGTGGAACAATGCATTTGTGCCTAAACTTCTTTTGGAAAAAAAAAAATATAATTAATTTGTAAGTCTGAAAAAAATATTTAATTTAAAAAAAATTGTAAACTTGCAATAATGAAAAAGTGTACTTCTGAAGACAACTACATGAACGTTTTTGTTGGTATTCAAGTCAGCTAGTGTTTATAATTCCTGGATATTGAAAAAGGGAAGCCCAGCTGCCCTCGTAACAAAACCAGCAAACGTCCTGATGACAACGAAGTGATGACATTAGCCATTCCTTAGGGTAGGAGGAACAGATGGATCTTATAGACCTATGACAAATATATATATAAATATATATATAAATATATATTAAAAATTTAGTGACTATGGTAAGCTTTTGTTCATTTGTTTCAGACTTTTTTCTCCTGTAAAAAAATAGTACTGATTAACTTTTTTAAAAGAAAGATTTTACTGTAAATACGGATTTTTTTTTTTTTTTTTTTTTTTTTTTTGGTCTTCTTTCTGTCCCTTTCCCTGGTTTGTTATTGTAACCTGTAGTGCCAACTCTGCGTCCGGAGGGGTAGTGCAGGGTGAAATGCTGACCCTGATGTTGCTTTTCATTCATAAATAAGTAGAAAGTTGTTTCTCCAGTCTTTTGGGAACACAGGACTTACAAGTCACATCATGTGTAGATATTACAAGCAACATTACCAAGACATGGCAAAAAGAGTTTGTCTGAAGTGTAATGTTGCGTTTGTGACCCTTTTCTGGGATTTTCAGAGGTACAAGGTTAGAATGCTACAATGTTACCACTGTGCCTTCCAATGTTTATATCATCGGAAACATAACATAATCAAAGTGGCTGTGATTTAACAAAATGATTAAAGTGTTACCTACATGTGTAGCCGAAGTAGTGTGCAGTGAGGCGTTTCTGAATACATGGTCAGATTTTTGGAAAAAAACAAAAACAAAAAAAAGTCAAGTTCAAAAACCATCAAATGAGAAAATTGCAAGTAGTATGACAGAGCTGATTGATTTTGTTGCTTTCTTGATTTTTTTTTTTTCAAAATGGGTTTACTAAGATGTAGATGACTTAACTGCCTCCTCCTTTGTCTGAAAAATGCCAATATTCAATCATCATGCAGCATTATAACAAGCCTTATAAGTCCTAAAGCATTAAGTTGCACTTTCTTGAGGAGGGGTAGTGCAGTATTTCTCTGGCCAGTATGAATGAAGTTTATACTTAACATATTTGATAGAAACATAGATCAAGCTATGGCACAGCAACTCATCAGATAGCTAGCTTTGATGTCTGGGCACAATTGAACCAACTTCCATCGTGAATCTTTATAATGATTGACTTTGGTGTATAGTGCAGTAAACAAATAGTGCTCCTAGTTAAGTATTTGTCAGCATCCTTTGTCTCTAACTCGTTTCTATTTTTACAGCCACACAATCTTGGCATGTATTAAGAAAAAAAAAAATCCCTGTTCCAGTAGTTTTTCCACCTATCAGCACTGAGTAAATGCCATAAATCCATCGAAATGGTCTAAATGTTCCATCTGTTCTCCTGTTTTGCCAGTTATATAGTAATGAAATACATTTGTAAATTTTATGCAACAAATGGCAAACGTATCATTATTTTGAAATTGTGTATGTAAAAGTTATATTTTTACATGTAGACTCTTGTTATTATGTGTTTTAATACATTGTATCAGTTTTTGTTTTTTTTTAACTGTGTGGTTTAAAAAAGTCTCATTTAAATGAAATAGTGAGCTACAAGAATCTGAATTTTACGTTCATTTCTGAAAATGTAAGAACAAATAAGATAGTTACCACGTGGTCATCTTTTACAAGCCCATAAACATTTTGATTAGCTGTATGTGTGTTGAAAACTGTAAATATGTTCAGTAGCGATAAAACTAAAATACTTTGATTTGTTGATAAGTTCCTAAAATGTGGAGGTGGATTAAAACCTTAGGAGAATAGCAGAAATCAGACTTCATGAAAAGTTATTTTGAGGCTTTCCTGTGAAATGTACAAACAACGGGGTCAAAGAAGGGCACAGAAGACAATATTGTATACTCTCCCCTCCTCCTGAATGATGGAAACCATGTGTATTGTTCCCTCAGTATGTTAAAGATTTCCTTTTAGTGGTACATTCTGCACTCATTTTGTATAGTCTACCAAGGCGGGTATCCCTAGAAACAATATTATATAGGAAGCAGGTGTACTCCGATCACATTCAGGATAAGTGTACAGAAGAAAATATGGTGTTTACTACTTAGGGAACTGGAAACCCTCCCTGCATTGATGTACATTTTAAGTATGGCACTTTTGATACATGTTATCATAAAGGTGCTTCATAGAGCTGATTTAAAGTTTTTCAAATCTGTAAACAAAGCAAAAAATGAAATTGTAGTTATTTGATTATTTTTTAAATTGGTGCTTTATATTTTGTTCTCACTCAAACAGAGTAAAAGCTGCAATTTACTGTTCACCAGCTTTGATGTATTCATTACTCAGTAATGGAATACCTCTATTGTTGAATTCCCTCTGGAAATGAGCGAAAAACTTTCTACGGCCACCAAAAGCTGCTCACTACTTTTTGCTTGGTGGAGAAACATGATCTACACCTATCCATATTAATCAGGTTGTATCCCCATTAAAAAAAAAAAAAAAAGATGAAAGGGAATGTGGCCTTTCTAGTGTGTTTTTTCTTGTCGTTGTTTTGTAATTATCAAACCCAGGTAAGATATTTGGTATCCTGCGCTGGATTTTCAAATGAAATTTAGCAGAAGACAGTTACGATTAAGGTCCTTACAAAAATTTCATAAAGGTCCATACTACCCTGTATAGGTGATGATGATGATACTTAGGCTGGGGATCTGTTGAAGAGACTTGGACTTGAAAAGCAACTTGGAACCGTTGATCCACCTCCACATTCAAGTAATTTATGAATATGCAGAATAGGGATCTGTTCATCTAGAAATTTTTACCATTTGTCTTCTGTGTATCTGCGAGGAACACTAATGTTTATACAACTGTCAGTTCACCCAGTAACGCAACTGGTTCTGATTCAGTCTTCCGATTCCTTTTTATTTCTCGCTTTTTCCTATTTCTTGATTTTTTTTTTTTTTTTTTTTTTTTAATTTGTGATCTTTATTTTGATGAGGGATTGGGGGGTGGGGAGGGCGTTGAACCAAGACTTGGGGTTAAGAGGATTTTCGTCTTGGATCCAACAGGCAGAATATGATCTGTGTCCAAAAGTGAACTTGAGTCAGGAATGAAACAATTTCAGCATAAACAAGCACAAAAATTTAGTCTGCTGGCTGACTGGAAACAAAAAAAGTCAAGATGGAATATGACGAATTCCAACACAATGGGGCACCAAGGCCTTTAGGCCTCTCTTTATTTTGCTCTGGTTTTGCTTGTTTTTCTTTAGAGACATGCTCTTTCTCATGGGACTTGAAGTGGACTCATCTTTGTGCTGGTTTTACCATACTCATTTCAAGTATTATAGACATATGTAATGGTGAAAATATATGAACTGTGGCCTTTTTCATTCTTGTTATTTGTGATGCAATTAAGTGAAGATAAGAAAAAAAAAAAAAAAGCAGAGATTTACCATGTATCAGTGCCTGGCTTTTTGTTATAAAGCTTTGTTTGTCTAGTGCTCTTTTTGCTATAAAATAGACTGTAGTACACCCTAGTAGGAAAAAAACTAAATTTAAAAATAAAAAATATATTTGGCTTATTTTTCGCAGGAGCAATCCTTTTATACCATGAATATTACAAAAAAAAAAAAAAAGAAAATTGTCAGATTCTGAATATTTCTTCTTTGTAGATTTTTGGAATCATTATGAGTAAAAGTTTGTTACTTTATTTTACTATTTAAAAGATGTTATTTTACCATGTGTTACTGAGATGAAACTGTATGGTAGCTTTTTTTGTTTGTTTTTTGTTTTTTGTTTTTTTTTTAGTTGTAGGTCGCAGCGGGGAAATTTTTTGCGACTGTACACATAGCTGCAGCATTAAAAACTAAAAAAAAATTGTTAAAAAAAGAAAAAAAGGGAAAACATTTCAAAAAAAAAAAAGATAAACAGTTACACCTTGTTTTCAATGTGTGGCTGAGTGCCTCGATTTTTCATGTTTTTGGTGTATTTCTGATTTGTAGAAGTGTCCAAACAGGTTGTGTGCTGGAGTTACTTCAAGACAAAAACAAACCCAGCTTGGTCTAGGCCATTACCTGTTTCCCATCTGTAGTTATTCGATGAAGTCATGTACATGACCGTTCTGTAGCAATAAATGTGCCATTTTTATAAACTTTCTGACACTTGTTTCATTTCATTTTACATTGTCCATATAGCTCTGATTCTCTTCTGTAACTAAAACCGCATCTATATTTCATTTTCCAAGTGTTGGCGGTATTAACAGCTTAACAAACAAAACATACAAAAAAAAAAAATCACAAAAACAAATTGAAAAGCAAAAGCACATGATTGACCAAGGAAGAGATGCCCTTAATGAAAATGGAACGGGATGCATGCAAAACAAAAAGAAAACTGTCTAGAGGATTAACTAATTGAAGGAATATAATTAATGTGCGTGTAACACTGAAGCTATGCATTTGAAGAGCTCTGAACTGCGCCAGTGGTTTCCGTTGTGCTGCACCTTGCTAAGTCAAGTCAGCCTTAACCTTTTGGATCAGTTTGTCAACTGTTTGGCAGAACCTTCTCAGCTAGATCTTTGCAGTCAAAAATCTAAGATGATTTATTTTGTATCACTTTATGAAGAGCTGAATATTGTTAACCACAATTAATATGACACTGTATTTATACTTTCTCAAACTCGACCTGCCCCACCACTTCTGGTTGACTCTGTTGACTACTCATCCAGATGTAAACAACCAGATGTCTTTTTCTAACTTGTACAAATGGACGCTTGTCACCTATTATGGGAGGGAAAAAAATGTACAGATTAAAATTATTCAGTGTTATGTACTGTAAGTTAATATTTTTGTAGAATGGACATCAAGCTACTTTGCAGAACTTGGAGGCTGTTTTGACATTGCATTGTAGAAATGTAAAGTAATGTATGCAATGGAAAGGAAAGCCCGTGGTAGATGAGCACTTCATAACAGAATGTTCTAATCGAGTACATGGTCTTTGAGGATGTCTCCATATTGCTTTTGTATTCTTTCTAATGGGGTTTAGTGACTAGTTTACCTGAAGGAAAATGTTATAATGCCGTTTGGTTCACATGTGAAGTGCCCTCCATAGCCAAATGTTGGGATTTTTTTCTTTTTGGTTGGACTGTTTGCAGATATTTAAATTTTATGAAATTTCCAAAGATTTTGGTTGATGACCCCTTTTTCCTTCTAAATGATTTGAGATGTTCTTATGTTCTTACTGTGTGTTTTAAATATATATAAAAGAGCCACAAGCATTTAGTCTTTTAGTATTATATTTGATTATATAACTATTACTAAAAAAGGTGAAACATGAGCTTGGGCGCCAGTTCAGTGTCTCTTATATAGTCTATTAATATTATGTTTTATTTAAAAGGACCACATTAAACATTAAACTTTGACTTTGGTTCATTTTTCAAAGGGGAGTTAAATTGCTGGAGAAACTAAAATATTATCCAAAAGTTAAGAAGATCCCAATAATAGAAATTAAAAAGGGAAGACTGTCCAAAGGAGTTGAAATAGGGAATCATTTTTAGTCTTATAATTGGATCCATTCATATAAGACCAAGTGAAATTTTTGTTCCAAGCTTCAATTGTAGACCACCTTTCTCTTGACCAACAGCCTGAGACATTTCATTTGTAAGCCACTTTATAGAGAGCATGAAAATGACAAAAAGAACTAGTGTGCTGCTTATATTCAAATCACCCCAGGATCATCCGTTTAAATGGCACTTGGGACCCTCAATGCTCTGCCAGTTAGGAGATCTCAGGTTCCATAAGGTGTGCTCCTTACTTCAAACTAGTTTCAAGTCCACTTGCTCGCCGGGCATGGCATGTGTTATAAAGAAACATGGCCAGTTTTGAAAGGACTAGAAGGCGAAGAAGAGCCAAAGTCACCTTGGTATTCATGAGAGATCATTAAATTGAGAAGGTTTGATGAACAAATATGGCCTCAGATGAAAATCCTCAACTCTTCGGGAAAGGACGACTCAATGTCACAACTGGGAGAGAACGCTAGTGACAAGCATGAGTGCATTGAAGTGTAGCCCTAGAAATACATTGGGTGTTGAGGGGTCAAAACGGTCAAATCAGCCAGCCAGCCATAATCTGGGTATTTGTTTGAATGCTAGACCTTGAGATTACTGAATTCTGTACGTAAACATAGTAAGTATCTTGTAGTTTAGGCTTTTTACTTTGGAAGGTATGTATCTAAAGCAGTGCTTCTTAACATTTTTGAGTTGTGGATTCTTTGAACATGAAAGAAACCACTTCATAGAAAAAAGTACATGTGTATAAAATGTCACATTCAGCTTTAAGGAGTTGATGAATCTCTCTAGAGTCTAGGTATGGGGGCTTGCTCATGGATCCTAGGTTAAGAAAATCTAGCATAAGGTAACTAAAGCTTCAGTACTTGAAAAAGGAACGGAAGCAATCCCATTTGCCTTGATTGGGATGGCTGAGCCTAACCAGAACTGGACTGGTGTTTGGCTTGTCTGGGTAAAAGAAAGACCCTTTGTGTAACACAGAAAATAATACGGTCCTCATCCACATCTGTTACACTATATTTAGAAGTCAAATGGCTTTGGCGTTGGCATGAACATTCTTGTAAGAGGAAGCAGAAACTTGCCAAGTGCAAAGTGAAAATGCTCCTGCAGAATCAGACCTGCTGGCTTGAGGTTTTTGACGGTAACCAGCCCATGGGTGAGGAACTCTTGAGCAAAAATGACAAGATTTTGAAGAATAGAACATCTTGATTTTAGTAAGGACTTACTTTATTTGTGAGTTGGGTGAGACCATTTTAAAGGTGAGGAAATGAAGGCTAAGTGACATGCTCAAGTCCTCAGAGCTAAAACAAGTAGCTAGTATCTTGACCTTGAGCCCAGTGGTCACTACACTGGGCACCTCTCCCAAATGACCAATCTGGATTCACATTTTCACATGATCCTGCCTCCCTCCCCCTCAGCTGCATCCAGGTCCATTGTTTGTTTGTTTTGCTTTTATTTTTGCTGCTGCCTTTTTCATACATTTTTTTTACAGAAGAGTTTCTAAACCTCCCTGCAGTTCTCATTTTCAACCTTATTCTACAAGTTGTTAGGATATAACTGGATGTGAGAATGTTCATGCAATAAAAGTCTGCTAGCCCAACTAAAATTTGCACTCTGGCCCACTTTTTCTAAAATAAACGTTCTATTATGGAATAATTTTAGATTTACAGAACAGTTGCAAAGATAATACATAGCATTCCCATATAGCCTTCACTCAGCTTCCTCGAAGGGTAAAATGTTACATAACCATGGGCCACTTGTCGAAACTAAGAAATTCACATTTGGACTTTATTTGAGTCTCACCCGTTTTCCACTAAGATCCTTTTTCTTTTCCAGAATCCAACCCAGGATCCTATATTGCTGTGGTCTGGCCCACTATGAGTTTGAGCACTAGAGCAGCAGCACAGTTGAGTCTGCACAGTGTCCCATGGTCTCAGGGTCTTGTCGAGGTGGATACACCACCCACCTGAACTACATACAGTAAAAAATCAACTGACTCACCTTTTATAATTCCTCCTTTTTATTGCCTTCTCTCAAAAATCCATCCTTCTTTGATGATGGATCTTGAACAGTAAGGAGCAGAGAGGAAGGAGCAAAGGAAGTGAAGGAGACCCACAGCACCCCCAAACTGAATAGTTTAGTGAATCATACATGGTTTGTTCACCCATGAATTTATTACTGAGTGCTGATGAGGCCAAAAGCACCAGGGGAGTTATTATATTAGTCCCTACTTCTCAGAAGTCCGTTGGAAGACAGCAGATGCATCTGTATGACCAACAGTAATGGCCATTAGCAGGAATAAACCAGGCTGGGGAGTGGTGGAGAGAGGCCCTGGGGAGGGATCCAGAGCAGACGGGACATTTGCAAAAGTGACCCTGAGGTGTGAGGAGCGTTTTGACAGGCAGAGCAGATAATGGATTTGAAACAATGGCAAGTCGTTCTGCAGTATAAGGAAATAAACTTGTAGGAACACAGTTTGGGTAGCTTAAACCGTGACAATAGATTTTTCAAATTTTCATCACCTTCCCGTCTCCCAAACAAATACCTGGAAACCTTTGGCCAACCTTTTTGGACTACAGGATTATTCGGGGCCTGTGTGCAGAGCCCATGGGTGAGGAAGAGAGGAAGTAACTGCACTAAGATCCTTACTTCCTCTAAGGATCTGAAGGAGAATCTAAGCCAACCTGCAAATTTTATGGAAAGGGCGAACGAGGCCGTGAGTGCTCAGCTGCATTTCCACAGTTCCCACAACTCCAGTTTCCCAGCTCCCTCCCCAAGAACCCTTTGGAATGTGCCATCATGTCACTAAAATAGCACTTTTGCCCTCTAGAAGCTCACAACCCAAGGGCGTGTGTAAGCAGCTGAAACAGAACAAATATAACTAATGGGGGCCATAGAGGCCCAAAATGAAGAGTGCTGGGGTGTCATTGATGACTGGAAGAATACTGGGGTATGATATGGCATATGATAGCCAGAGGGAGGGAGGGAAAGGGTTCAACCTGGGAATTCTTTATGAAGGAGGAGAAAAGCTATAGAAGATATAAAAGATACAATTTGGTGGAGAGGGCATTCCAGCTGGTGAGAGGTGTGGGCCTGAGTTAGGAATGTGTTAAGGGGGCCAGCCTGGTGGCGTAGGGGTTAAGTTTGCACGTTCCACTTTGGCGGTCCGGAGTTCACCGGTTCAGATCCCAGGCGCAGACCTAGGCACGGCTCATCAAGCCATGCTGAGGTGGCGTCCCACACAGAAGAGCTACAACTCTACAAATATGATACACAACTATGTACTGGGGCTTTGGGGAGAAAAAAGGAAAATAAAAGAAAAAGAGGAAGATTGGCAACAGATGTTAGCTCAGGGCCAATCTGGCTATGGTAAGCAA